CAAATCCAAACAAACAAAAATGGTGTTAGTAATTGAAGTAGAAGTAAAAGCAGGAGTTAATCACGCAATACAAAGTTGTTAGTGAGCACTGTGTGAGCGTTTTGTTCCTTGTGTATGTAAAAGCTTCGGTGAAAGTTGTTGTTCTTGTTGTTTTTAATGCGCCACAACGTCGACCAACAAAGCCAAGAATGGGCAACGTTATATTTCAGGTGATTAAAATCCACACCTTATCCTGTCACCTTTGATATGTGTAACCGAAAAACCCCGCGAAAACGGAAAGGGACACCAGACTATCCTCAGCGTCCCGCGTGCCATGACGAGAGAGTCCCATCGAGCGGACGCTCCTTGTTCAGAAAGTTAGTAGAACTTCATATCATTGTTGAAAAGAAAAAAAAATCTTATATGAGTTTTTCAATAAACGTGTCAGAACAAAAACAAATTATAAAGGGCTTATATAAGTCCATTTTCAGTCTAGGTTTTTATATGTTTATTGAGCGTATACATATCATTTATTCTTAGTAGGGATAGAATGAGTAGAAAACAATGCTATTATTAAAACGTTAGACGTCGTGCACAAAGCCGTACGACTGGACACCATCGTTGTCACATGTAAACTGAAACGCTGAGGCGATAAAGAGTCACCACAAGCATGCGCTATAGCTCTGAAAGAAAACATCGGGGGTCGCCCTTGAAAGACTTCCCTCCCCTGCTGCGCCGGCCTCCACGAGTCCGTGGGCGGCAGAACGGCGGCAAATCTGTTTCTATCACCCTTGCTCCGATAGACTTTATAATGACGCTGATGTACAACATATATGTCTGAGAGAAGGGGTCGCCGTGTTGTATTACGTTCAATAAATCGTATAGACCTTACGCCATAGTATACCCAAGCATCAAAGAGAATGCCGGGAACGTAGTACACGCTCTGCATTCGCTCGACTTCTTTGTATCTGAGATTTTTTTTTTCTAATGATGTTTCTAATGATGTAGACATTGCAGATTGAGCTGCCAGGCGCATCAGACAAGGAGCTTTCGTGGATGCTGAGAGCAACCGGTTGTTCATAGTTGGTCAGTAACGCTCGGCTTTTTTTAAGTTCAGTGCGGGGAGCGGAAGCGCGGAATCAACTCGGATGGCAAAGACGTAGTGTGTGGATTTGTCGGCCTCTTCTAAAGAAGGCCCACGCAAGACAAAGAATCGGCGCATTCGGTTAGGCGTCGTGCTCTCAATAGCTTAACATGAGCCTTCGGCAGAATGCTGTCCAGAGGTACCAGCAAAATATTACCTTTCGGGAGAAGATTTATTTCAGAGACGTCGTGATTTCATCGAGGCTTCACCATCAAATTGCATCGAGCTTCGACCAATCACATTGCACCCAGTCCTCTTTTATATTCTTGTCCTGCCCATGAAACGCACCCTCTCGATGCACAACGGTACACTGGCATCCATGTACACAACGCTAGGAAAACGCTGCAGGACACTGCCGATATTGGAAATTACCAAATAAAAGATGCAACTGTATATTGCGTTCTCATCACGTATCACAGGAAAAACTGATAAGTTAAGAAACTGCAAAAACATCGATTGAAGGCGAGGGAGTTATCCCTGCGCGAAATTCGCTGGCCGAAAAAGGGGCGGCTCTAGCTATACTTCGTTTCACCATAACTAGGCAAAGACTTACCGTTCCTCAGATGCGCGTTACTGTACTTATAGATCTCTCTCAGTTGAGAAATATAGTACAACTAGGGCTCCGTGCTCTCGGTAAATGCTGATAAATCCCGAAAATTAACCGACGATGCGATTTTATTAGGATCAGAGAAAAACTCCCCGAATTTGATCTGTCCTTGAATAGGAACAATCTAAGGCTTCACGGGAACAAAATCTTTATCTAGAGTTTTATTTTGTGTTAACCTTCAACAGAGCTCTCAATGAATTGTCCGCACCTATGATTCTTTCGCAACAGCCCGTTCGAGCCAATCAGAGCGAAGTAGGCAGAAGCACCTGACAGTCCTTACCAAAAGTACAAGGGCGAGGGCACACCCCAAGCAGTTGGAGAGGAGGGAGAGGAGGAATTTCCTCCTTGCCCGGACCTCCTTTTGTATGTCCAGGACGTCGCTTCCCTCCCCCTCGATGACTAGCTCAAGATCTGTTCAAAAGCGGCTTGCTTCTTTCTCCCGACCGTGACTTCGACAGCACTGCGCACATCCACTGAGTTAAAAGTATACGCTCCGTGCGGGAACTGTAGGGGGCGCTTTGAAAAACGCGCGTAGCGCCGCTAGCGGAGGAGCTGGCGTTCGACTGTGAGGCACGTTCAGCAGCCTGCGGCGCCTTTTCGCATGCGAAGCTGTGGCGGCGGAAGCGCGCACAGACGAAACTTTCCCACTTTGAGCCGATACGTTAAGGGTGTCGTTGCATGAGTGCTGGGGCAGACCTAAGAAGGGAATCTAGCTGTTCTCCACTTTTTATATATTGAGTTTGAGTCGTTATTAAAGGTAATTTATCTAGCTCCGGTCGAAAAAGGGGTTGCAGCAATTTTCCGAAAAGCAAGACGGCCGCCACCATAATTGCTCCGAGTGGGAATTTTTTTTCGCTCGTCGCTGTAAACGGGACTGCTGGAACAATGATCTTTGGAGGCGAGTGAGATGTTCACTAAGTTTGTGCACGAAGTGTGCCAAGTTTCATTAAGACAGCAGGTGTGAAAGTTATGTTTCTAACGAATAAAGAAATAAAGCTGTACGAGATATCCAATATTGGACCCAAAATGTTGTGTTATAAACGGGCTGTGCGAAGTGCAGACTTGGTCACACAGGTGCTTGGACTTGACAGCAACATGATACAGCACTTATTATACCGAAAAGAGGTGGCATAATGAAACCAGGTGGAAATTTAGTTTGGGCGGCGTAACTCAATGGTAACCGGTTTTGACCATGAAACGGCTGTCAAGAGAATACCACTCGTCGTGGGAGGTGGAGACTTTACAAGTAGAAAGGGACTAGTGGACTGTGCTCCCAATTGAAACAACTTTACGAAAGGTGGTTCTAAAGCCGATAAAACAAAGTTGTCGGCCAACACACGGTTTGGCCATCAAAGGCTTTTGCGGTCAGCTGTTGTGTAATAGCCTGTTGCGCGAGGTGCTGATTTTCAGCACACAGGTATTTTGACATGACCGTAACTTGACACAACATTTATTATACCAAAAAGGCATAGCAAAACCAAGTGGAAATTTAGTTTTGGGCGGCGTAACTAAATGGGAACCAGTTTTGACCTTCAAAGGATGTCAAGATAATACCACTCATCGTGGGAGGTGCACACTATACAGGTAGGAAGGGACCAGTGGCCGGTACTTAAAGTTCAAACAACTTTGTGATAGGTGGCCCTAAAGCTGAGAAAAAAATTTTTGTCTCCAGAACTCGGGGTGTCAGCGTCTCCACATCCAAAAGGACGCTGATCAAAAAAGAAAGCAACCACATAAACTTTCATACTCAATCGTCGATTTTCCAGTGATTCCGAGCTTCATTGTAGTTTTTTTTTAGATTAATATTTGTTACTTTTTTTTTTACCGTTCGAATCTTTCAACATGAAATACAGATTGCGTGCCATACTTCTCCAGAAATATCATCGACACGTATGATGGGGACGAAACTTCTTTGGAGGGCATTCCTCCAATGAAATTGGCACTGCATACCCGCGAGTGTGGGATGGCATTTCAGTTCGTCCCATCGGCGCTAACACATGTAGGCGACACTGGTACGAAAACAAACGCAGAGAGCAAAGCGGCTATGTAGAATATGTCAGCCGTGCCGACACAGTTGCGGATATGATCGGGAGACTAAATTTCTCGCGTAGTAGGGCACGGGTACATCGTTGTCGCTGTCCCACAAAACACCGGCGAGGTGAAAAATTGTGAAACTTTGTCCCCACGAGATACGACGCATAACTATTGAAGTACTTAACGACGCAGCACCGGCAGCACTGCATGCTGTGAACTCAGCGCAACCGCACCGCTCCGACTTCAATGCATACCAACGTACGTGGCGAGGTTTCGGTTTCGCTTTCTCTGGGGTTCACACTGCCTACCTTCGGTAACGGCCGCGCGGCGGCGCGCCAGTCGCGTCGCATGGAGTGTATAGTCACGTGTCTCTTTCCGAAGCGCTGATTGGCTCACTGGGACCGTAGCCTTCGCCGCTTTTCAAGTTACGGTGAGACGGCTTCCCATCCTTACTCAACCCTTTACAAACGGAAATAAAATGTATAAAACATGTTGGTAAACTATAGCCGTCCTTATAAGTCCTACAGTCATTAATGCGATCCCATAAAAAAATATGTAAAACCTGAGACAATCATATGCACCTTGTCCCCTATTTTCTTCCCATTCCTTCCAATCATTGTATACCCCATCAATCCGATACCCTAGCGACGTATTTGTGTAACCACAGGAGCTGCGGTTACACCAAGACGTCAGCGGACATTTGCCTCCTATAATAGACGGTAACAGCGTGATCACCGCCCCCCCCCCCCCCCCCCCGAAATGGTGCACCAATATTCCAGATCAATGGTAGCCAGAAATGTCAACGTGCAATAAATAATGTTGCTAATTTCTTGCAAAAAAAAAAAAAAACACGTAAACCTTAGTCAAATATAAATGTTTCTTTTAATTCTGTCTGTTTGTTTGTTTTTTCTTTGTTTTTAGGGGGGGGGGGGTGTTTGCTTTGAACGCATCGGGGCCTGCATTATAAACATTTAAGGTAATTGCCCACGCCACAAACAGTAAAACGACAACCGTGCGTTAATACTAAGCCTACGCTCCGTGACAGCACGCAATGAGCCTTTTTTTTTCCTAAGAGGCACGGGACATTGTTTGCCTGTTTGTTGAGTGACTCATGACTGAATGTTGCTCCAAATGAAGCCTAGAACTTCACTTGCAAGGATATTTTTACAGCTCATGATTAAAAGGTGGACAGATTTTTTCCTAAGGAGGTTGAATACGGTGGAAGTAGTGACTCACCTCCAGAGATGGGGGCTGAAACCTGGACACTTGTCCTTGCAGGTGAGGCAGGGCTGCCCTTCGTCAACCTCATGCACCAGGACTCCCTGTATTAGAGGAAAGCGCGAGAAACAGATTTCGAACAACTATCAGAATGAAATTATTTTTAAAAACCCCAACTAATAACTACAACAACAATCTGAAGTTATAATTATAATGCAATTAAAATGCTTGTCCCTCTTGTTCCCCTTCTCCAGGGATTATTTTCATAATCTGAAGTGCTCTTTTTGTAGGTAGCTTAGCTGGGTAAGTCAAATAAAAATTGGAGTGTATCATATTGTGCTAATTATGGTGTTTATGTGTGTTGCCCGTACTTCCGCCATCTTGTAAGAATGAATGTCAAAAATAAATATGATTTGATTTGAAAGCCTTCCTAATGATAAGAATTATTCAACTTGGCCGGCCATTGTAATTTGGCGTTTTATCTCGTCAACGCAAGGACACGCGCTTTATAGATGCTTCATGTCGAAGGACATTTCATCAGTACGGATCTATTTCGTTAAAAAAGACATGGTCGCGTCGCCGTCCATGTCTACAACCAGGGCGGCAACGTTCACTCATCACGCGGAAAAAAAAAAACTAAAGTGAGACAGTAATTGCTTCAGACCTATAGTGGCATAGCTTTCCGTAAACGCAACAATGGAGCATTTTAGATACATTTACAACGCCAAAAACAATACAACAGAAGTATAAAATCCTACGAACAAAAGCAGGTTCGTTCCGACAACCGAAAATCGCTTTGGCAGGGAGGTGCCCAAAACGTCCCTTTAAAAAGAAAACGCTTGCTTTGCTTGACGTGTCTGTGTAGTATCTTTGAATACAGTACATAATAAAATAAAACTTTGTAATTGTACAACAGACATTGCGATTCCATATAGGTAATTCGGCAATTAAACTACAAGCGTTGAATAAAAATGCATTATTTTTCTGGGCGTTACTCGTGATTCGCTGCGAATATATCAATGAATTTAAAGAAAAAACAAACCTTAAAATGTGTCATTCAATTACCTATTTTCATTTCTCAACGTAGGCAACAGAAAACTAAATACAGTTCTGCAAATCATGGGCATATTATGTAAAGTCGTCATGAAAGAAGTTAACCCTCTATTTCCACAACCTAAAGACCTTATATTTCCAGAAATACCAAGAGTGCCTAATTGACTACCGATGTAAAAATTTATTTCTGAATGAAGTAGAGTAAAACACAAGATATCGATAAAACAAACAATCTGCGCTAAAAATGCAACCAACCTTCAAGCTCAGCTTCAATCAGGCGCATTACCTTGGTTACTCTTATACTTTGTCTCATCCTACGATGGACTAAAGGCCAAAGCCACGGGCCGCAAGGTCCAATCTTATTGCAAGCTAAAATATGGCACGCTTAGCATTGGTTAGGGGTGGACGAATGATCCTCCGAGTCCAAAAGCGCTGCATCATTTTTATAGCTTCGACACTGCAAAGAGCTTGTATGATATAGCTTTCTTTGCAATGTAAAATTGTTGAGTCACTCAGCGCTATCCAATCCGAACTACCGTCCGCCCTTCCCCATTGGTGATTTGAGACGCGGGCGCCGATACGTGCATCGAAGCGAAATACCACGCAACTTGTAAGTGGCTCGTGATTGGATCTGGCGGTCCGTAGCTTCTACCTTTAGTCCATCGTAGGGTGAGACGAAGGATAGGTGGATGGATGATATAATTACCGAAACTCATGGCTTCATTTGAAAACTGCGCGTTGCGAAGGCACTTCTGACTACTCGCTATATGTCAATGAATATCCGAGCATTTAAAGCACACCGATGCTCACGCGGCTAATCTTTAGTTGACAATATAAAAGATTTAACTATTTTTATTTGTTTTTTCAATGAAGTTTAGCCATCTGGAAAATAAAAGAATTCTGAAGACACTCTACCGCATCTACCAGATAATTGCACATATTAACAACTCAAAACCATCGACGACAAAATGCAGAAGATACGCACACATTCATCTCAGTAATGCAAATGTGCGCATTAAATATTTAAACAAGATATTAGTTGAGTACTTTACGTGACAATAAGTCTCCCACAAAATAAACCCACGGGAGTCATTGACAACATTTTGACTACAATCGTAGGGACCAAATTTCAAGTTAGCTAACAAATCAAGTATGCAGATGTGTTTGTGCAAGAAAATCGAAGTTGGCGCAGACATACGGCATAAGGGGGGACGCTGAAAAAGATACTGGCCTGTTCATTCATTCCAATCTTCAAAGTGGGCACACGTAAAACAAAAAAATATATATATATGCGTGTCCACTTTTCTGCAAAATGCAGAAAGCCAGTCACGGTGAACAACGGAATGATTCCAGGGCATGACAAAACTCAGAACACGATTAGACCAAAAAAAAAAAAAGTAATCGTGACCAACATTGTGAGACATTCCATGAAATAAAAAGTTTCCAAGTAAATATCGAAATTTTAATTGATTTGCATTCCAGGATACCCAGGCAAATACAGTCCTCGGGAACATTACGAATTTGGTCAAGAAAAGCAAAACTTGAAAATTTTTGAGAATGTGGGGTTCCAATATGATTCAATGCAAAAACAAAATTGAATAACCGAGGGATAAAAACTATCAGCGTCCGAAAGTTTAACTACTGCCTATTGATATCTTATGACTTTTATTGAAAATATTCCCGAGGAAAATCGCGATGTTCGTGGTTTTTCAGTTGAATTTTAGGGCATGTTCCGGGCATTGATATCCAAGAAAGTTGGGAATGTGTGCGGAGGAAATTACAACGAGCATGGCGTCTCACTTGCACACATGGTCCCCGCGCGCATGCCACCTTCTAAAATATAATCGTATTCTGAGCCTTGTCACTAAGTGAGATTCCACCGGGTTCGATCGAGAAAATGAAACTCAGTTTTTTGCCCGAATAAATAAACCACGCATCGCAAAACGCCAAAACTCCGTGCGATTGTGACCCTTGCGGTGGTGACCAAATGCGAAAGCTTGAGACATGAACCTGCATCAACAGATGCGAAAGAAAAGTACAATCTCTCTATGGACCCGATGTTCACTTGAGCTTAATATTCATCAAGTCAAAAATGACATGGTGGGAGCCTATAGCATTCATTGCCGTGAAAAAAAGACCCTGTCAGGAAGGAATGAATATTATTTTCTTTTTGTCTAATCAGCGGGTTTTTTTGTTTTTTTTTCCTTTTTTCTAGACAAGTTTGATTGGCTTCAAGAATGTTATTTCTTGGTTTTCTGATTATTAGTTATATACGAGGGGCGTTCATAGAGTTCGTAGTATCGGCTTCAAAAAATAAAAAAATGGGAACAAAAGAGGCATCAACACAAGCGCGCGTCCCTTTAGTTTCGGCCAGTATAAACATTGCATGCTAATAGTACCACCGAACGCCGCTAGGGCGTCGAAACAAAAATGGCACTGCAACAAGGTGCATTGCAACAAGGTGCAATGCAACAACAACAACAACAGCCCTCGTCCTGTCCTCTTCTCTTCTATCTTCCTGTCGTCTTTGCGCTGTTCAAACACTAAGTAAAAAATGGCACTGCCCGCCACGAAAGTGGAACCACGTAGAGTGATCCTTTTTTTGCTATTTGAAGAGAAACAATGCCAAGGAGAATCATTCCGAGCTGGTGGCCGTGTTCGCGGACACCGCCACCACCTTCTGACAAAGCTGCTTCTTTTTCATCTTTCGCATGAAGATTCCACAGCGTTGAAAGCATTTCAAGGACGACGACCAAGCGATTGCTGAAGTGGAGCGAGTCTTGAACATTTAAAACGATCAGTTCTAAACGAAAGGCTTCTGGCAGGTTGTTCATAGCTGCAGAAGTGTGTGGCTTTGGGTTGCGAATACCTGAAGATGAATACCCTGCCCGAGTTTCGTTGCAGAATATCCATTCTGTAATGACAATAATACGAACTTTATGAACGCCCCTCGTTGTGGACCTCGCCTCATAGAAAATTATTCTTTTTCCCTCGTCTCTTTTGACACAGGTAACATCATGTCCTCACACGTTCGCATTTTGTCACAAACCACTAGCAGCACGCTCTCAAATAGTTCCAGCTTTCTGCAATGGGTAGTTTAGTTTTGCGGGGCGAGAAACCGCGTTCCATTTCCCCGATCGGCTCCTGTATATTGCTTGCCGTTAATAACTGCCCCTGGGTTATGCAGAAAAATCAACTCGCATACTATTTTAAGAGTGTAATTGATATTAGCCGGCTACCCAAGAGATTCACAAACGAAAGCTTCGTAACCAAAAGAGTGACCCCCCGCCCCCAGCAACCGGTAAAGACTCCACTCTCCGGGAGTTACGTTCTAGCCGCGCCTCTAAGTATAGAACCCACTGACCACGCTTATCGGTTTCATGACGTCACTGCATGACGTCACAATTACGTCACAGGTTCGTTGCGTGGCCGCTTCATCCGTGAAGCAGGATCGACGGTATTGTTGCCATTAAAAGCCGCATCAGAGGGGAGAGAGAGAACCTCTTGGGCTTTCCCGATAAGCGACCTGCTGTTCTCTCACTTTGGCTCATGCGTGTTTTCTTCTTTTTCTCGCACTTTTAGTGCAACGTACCTTGTTTTTCACAGCGTGGCGTGTTTTGTTGCGCGGGACAACGGTAACAATAAAAAAGGGGTGTGTGGGATTATTTTTTTTTCGCGTGAGAGAATAAACAAATCTGAAGAGGGCCGGCAGAGGACCGGCCTATAACGGGGCCAGGGCGGCTTATCTGGCGAGGAAAATGGCCTCCAAGTGCTTGTTGCCCTGACCCGGCACTGTAGGAGTTCGACACAACGGCGCCAAAATTCTTTTTCTCCTTTTTTTTTTTTGAGAGAGAGAGAGAGAGGAGGCGTTGTTTTCATTTTATTTTTCCTCTGAGAGCGCTAGGGTGCTCGCTGTATACCAGCTTTAAAATTTTATTTTACTAATAAAACCTAAAATTTCAAACAAAAAAGTTCAAGTTCTATTTTTTACCGAACTAGCTGCTGTTAACCACGGTAGTTCTATAACCGTTCGGTTTTTAATGCCAATACA